TGGGCAGTTTTATTTATACACTATCTAAATGATTATTATTAAAATATTTAAATGATTTTTTTTTTAATGAAGTACTAGTAAATGATCAATGCTTCTAATGGGTAGACTGAGCACTATGATAAAGTGACAACTTGGTGCCTCATCATACAAGATATTCTCTTGTAAACATGGATTTGAAGAACAGCCACTTTGAAGGAAACTGGCCATCTTATGCAATGATATTCAGTAGTTGTTCTGGGAAAATGCTGGTGGCTTCTCAGTCCGTGAAGGCAACCCCAGATGATCCTGCAGCTTCTTACTCAACACAAAATTGAGTTAATAAGAGGACTCTTACACATTTCTAACAATCCATGTATTCTTTAAGTTCCATGTATCTTACTCTCTTGCATAGTGGCTAGCAGTGATAATCTTATGATAGGGTAAGTCTTTGGGGGGAGGAAAGGGAAAACGTAGGTATTCTTTATTAAGTAAAACTTTTACATTAATAGAAAATAGTTATTGTTGTGCATTTACAAATCATAGAATGATTGTACTGATATTAATAACATTCGGGTAGTAAGGCTACACATATTGTTATTGTTGTTGTCATGTGCCATGGAGTTGGTTCCGGCTCATAGTGACCCTGTATAGGGTTTCTGAGGCTGTAAACCTTTACAGGAGCAGAAAGCCTCATCTTTCTCCCGCAGAACAGCTGGTAGTTTCAAACTGTTGACCTTGAGGTTCGCAGCCTGATTCATAACCACTACGACTCCCAGACAACATACTACCAGAGCTCCTTTAGTTCACCTTATTTAATTCTCACAGCAGTTCAGACAGATGCGTCTATAATTGTTCTCTGAGGCCTGATAGAAAAATCATTGCCAAAGGCTATGAAGTGGAAGTGCCAACATCAAAACACAGGATAGAAGTTCCCCAACTCACTACACTTTCCTGTTACTGGCTCTAGAATCTTATTTTCTAGAACCAGGAGAACTTAAAAAAGTATAGTAAATATGTATAATCCATTTATAACATAATATAATTACTGTATGTTGTTGTTAAGTGCTGTCCAGTCAGTTCTGACTCATAGTGACCCTGTATAGGGTTTCCTAGGCTTTAAATCTTCACGGGAACAAAAAGCCGCATCTTTCTCCCATGGAGCGACTGGCAGGCATGAACAGCAGACCTTGTGGTTTACAGTCTAGAGGTTATGGCATGGAACCACCATGCTCCCCAATAAATTTAGATAAATATTTATAAAATTGCAAATGCTGTTTACTGATTTTAGGTTTTCTAATGAAATTAATCTACAGCAGGTATGTCAGATTTAATCATAGTTTGTGGATAAAATGCTAACATTTTAAATCTTGACAAGATCCTGTAATATAAAAGCTGAAAGGTTTTGAAAAGTGTAAGGAGAAAAGAAGTGTGGAAGGGAATGCAGAAGTGCACATATTCTGATTAAAGTTGGTAAACCAAGAAACAGAATTTTTGGGGTAGTCTTTAAAATTATTTTGCTGTTGTTAGGTGCTATCGAGTTGGTACCGACCCATATCGATCTTATGCACAGCAGAACGAAACACTGCCCGATCCTGGGCCAACCTCACTACTGTTGCCATTCTTGAGTCCATCGATGATGCCACTTGACCAATCCATCTCATTGGGGGTCTTCCTCTTTTTCTGTGACCCTCCACCCTACCAAACATGATATCCTTCTCCAATGACTGGTCTCTCCTGACAATATGTGCAAAGCATGAGAGATGAAGTTTGGCCATCTTGGCCTCCAAGGAGCACTCTGGCTGCACTTCTTCAAAACAGATCTATAGGTTCTTTTGGCAGCCCATGGCACTTTCAATATTCTCCTCCAACACCATAACTCAAAAGCATCAATTCTTCTACAGTCTTCCTTATTCACTGTCCA